TTTCAAAGCGATGGTTGTGGAACTGCAGAAGTCAGGAAAAGGTAAAACCACCCAAATCAGAAAAATCTAAGATATTCTTCGGACTAACAAAACAATTATAGACCTCTCCATTGGGTTTACTGTCAAAATTAAATCCCTCAACTGTAAACCTTGACCTATGGTCTCGGTTTACAGTCTCGGGATATAATTTTGACAGTAAACCTCTGGAGAGGTCAATAATTGTATATTATAACCTTGGCCCGTCTGTGTAACTTTGATTGTTCTGTTAATTTCCTCTAATACAGATTTTTATTATGAACCATTGAGAAATAGTAAATACAGGGTTGACCAAAACATTTTATTTTCTTTGGTCTATAACTTTTAATATTTAGAGTAAAACTTTTCTAATGGCAACCAGGTGGACATATTTTGTCATTGTTCTTCTGTGACTTAAGCATGCATTCCCTACAGTTATTCAACTTTTAAAAGGTGTGGTCATTTCATTTCCTCTGTTACCCATCAACCCAGTTTCGTGTACGTCATCTCAGTTGAGCACTGTCGTTTCATTTCCTGTTAACCGTCAACCCAGTTTCGTGTACGTCATCTCAGTTGAGCACTGTCGCTTCATTTCCTGTTACCCGTCAACCCAGTTTCATGTATAACATCTCAGTTGAACACTGTCGTTTCATTTCCTGTTACCCGTCAACCCAGTTTCGTGTACGTCATCTCAGTTGAGCACTGTCGTTTCATTTCCTGTTACCCGTCAACCCAGTTTTATGTACGTCATCTCAGTTGAGCACTGTTGTTTCATTTCCTGTTACCCGTCAACCCAGTTTCGTGTACGTCATCTCAGTTGAGCACTGTCGTTTCATTTCCTGTTACCCGTCAACTCAGTTTCATGTACGTCATCTCAGTTGAGCACTGTCGTTTCATTTCCTGTAACCTGTCAATTAATCTTGCATCAAGTCTAAGACCACTAACTACTTCATCAGAAAGGTGTTCATTTCAAGTGCTCATTTCAGATATGTTTTCACTTTAGAAGTATGTGTTCCCTTCAGAGGTGTTTATTTTATTTATATCATCCATAAGTCTTGCATCAAGTCTAAGACCCCTAACTATTTTATCAGAAAGGTGTTCATTTTAAGTATTCACTTCAGATAGGTGTTCAATTTAGAAGTATGTGTTCCCTTCAGAGGTGTTTATTTCATTTATATCATCCATAAGTCTTGCATTAAGTCTAAGACCCCTAACTATTTTATCAGAAAGGTGTTCATTTCAAGTATTCACTTCAGATAGGTGTTCAGTTTAGAAGTATGTGTTCCCTTCAGAGGTGTTTATTTTATTTATATCATACATATGTCTTGCATTAAGTCTAAGACCCCTAACTATTTTATCAGAATGGTGTTCATTTCAAGTGTTCATTTCAGATAGGTGTTCAGTTTTGAAGTATGTGTTCCCTTCAGAGGTGTTTATTTTATTTATATCATCCATAAGTCTTGCATTAAGTCTAAGACCACTAACTACTTCATCAGAAACGTGTTCATTTCAAGTGCTCATTTCAGATATGTTTTCAGTTTAGAAGTATGTGTTCCCTCCAGAGGTGTGTATTTTATTTATATCATACATAATCTTGCATCAAGTCTAAGACCACTAACTACTTTATCAGAAAGGTGTTCATTTCAAGTGCTCATTTCAGATATGTTTTCAGTTTAGAAGTATGTGTTCCTTCAGAGGTGTTTATTTTATTTATATCATACACAAGTCTTGCATTAAGTCTAAGACCCCTAACTAATTTATCAGAAAGGTGTTCATTTTAAATATTCACTTCAGATAGGTGTTCACTTTAGAAGGATGTGTTCCCTCCAGAGTTGTTTATTTTATATATATCTTACATAAGTCTTGCATTAAGTCTAAGACCCCTAACTATTTTATCAGAAAGGTGTTCATTTCAAGAATTCACTTCAGATAGGTGTTCAGATTAGAAGTATGTGTTCCCTCCAGAGGTGTTTATTTTATATATATCTTACATAAGTCTTGCATTAAGTCTAAGACCCCTAACTATTTTATCAGAAAGGTGTTCATTTCAAGTGCTCATTTCAGATATGTTTTTAGTTTAGAAGTATGTGTTCATTTTAAGTATTCTTTTCAGATAGGTGTTCAGTTAAGAAGTATTTGTTCTTTTTGGAGGTGTTTATTTTATTTATAACATACATAAGTCTTGCAACAAGTCTAAGACCCCTAACTACTTCATCAGAAAGGTGTTTATTTTATATATATATCATACTTCAGTCTTGCACCAAAACTCTGGACACCTATCTATTTTATCTTTCTACATTATGCACATAGCTGAGTTGGTCTACGGACTTGTTGCAAGACTTCTCATAAATGCAACACTTACCAGGCATGAGGCCAACATGTGACTTGCAACAACAATGGCAGCTTGCCAATAGGCTTTCCTGTTTAGTCCAGCAAAAAATATTATTCCCTAAAATGTATGTAGGAATACAAAGCATAAAGTCAGGAATGCTGGAAAAGAAATGATTTAATGTCACAAAGCTTTCATTGAGTTTAAAAGATGGCAGTACGATACACATATACAATTTGAATTTATGTGCACTTTGGTTTAAGGGGTTGAAGCAAGACATCATAAATATATCACTTACCAGGCATGAGGCCAACATGTGACTTGCAACAACAATGGCAGCTTGCCAATAGGCTTTCCTGTTTAGTCCAGCAAAAAATATTATTCCCTAAAATGTATGTAGGAATACAAAGCATAAAGTCAAGAATGCTGGAAAAGAAATGATAATATAATGTCACAAAGCTTTCATCGAGTTTAAAAGATGGCAGCACGATACATATATGCAATTTAAATTTATTTGTCAAATAAGAACTTGCACTTTGGTGACATCTTTTTTTCATCTTGGGTGATATTTTGACTTTGCAATCTGTGTTTTTTAGGACATAGGACGCGTGTATGGACTTAGGTGACATCTTAATAAGCCCGTGAGATATGTTTGCTATCTAATTTGTGTTTTATTTTTATTGGGGAAAGGAAAATTAGCATGTTTGATCAATCATCATCATGGACCAGATAAATAAATAAACAGAGAAAAAACAAAATATAAACAAACAAATAACTACCTGAGACCAAAAAGAAGTCTTGAGATTTTCCATGGAGTCCTATTGTGCCAGGTCCCGTCATATCTGCTAGAATATTAACCAATGAAAATGCACCTCCCATGAGTCCAAAGCCTAAACCGCAACTGAAAAAGGAAATAATAAGGAAGTGAGGGTACATTTTTTGGGTACGTTATACATCGCTGGGTACACTACATCTCTAGGTACATTTTTAACCTTCAACTTTCAATTCTTTCTGTAAACTTTATACCTTCAGCACTGTTCCATAACTAGTCACTTTGATGGAACGTCAATGTTTTTGTTTTCTCGATTTAAACGTCTGTATAAGTCATGTTGCGGATTATCATTTGGCACAAAGTGAGACAATATAGGTAAGCTTTGAGAAATGCTCTCGGTTTGGAATTTGATTTTTCAATAAGACTGTAATTCACGTTAGTCGTCTAAGTATTGAAACAGACTTTCGTCAATGAAACAAAAGCGAGGGGCTAAATAATAAAAAATATAAATTGCAACTTCATTTACAAAACAAAATTCGGCTATAAAAATTAATTAATTAAAATTAAGGCTATATTTTCGAGCTTTGTGCCAAATTAAAAGCTGCAACTTGACTTGAGGTTCAAATCGAGAAAACAAAAAATTCGTAACCAGGAAGTTCATCCATTTTGTTACATTGACGTTACGTCAAAGTGCATTTAAGTGTTAGGGTGCAATATAATTTCTCGGACTCACCGTAAACTATACATATTATTTCATAACAAGTACATCTTGCACTTACCATATGCCATTAAATGTTTGTTCTTGACAACTCTGAGTTGATGTTCATCTTGCACTTACCATATGCCATTTAATCTTTGTTCTTGACAACTCTGAATTGTTGTTCATCTTGCACTTACCATATGTCATTAAATGTTTGTTCTTGACAACTCTGAGTTGTTGTTCATCTTGCACTTACCATATGCCATTAAATGTTTGTTCTTGACAACTCTGAATTGATGTTCATCTTGCACTTACCATATGCCATTAAATGTTTGTTCTTGACAACTCTGAGTTGTTGTTCATCTTGCACTTACCATATGCCATTAAATGTTTGTTTTTGACAACTCTGAGTTGTTGTTCATCTTGCACTTGCCATATGCCATCCAATGTTTGTTCTTGACAACTCTGAGTTGTTGTTCATCTTGCACTTACCATATGCCATTAAATATTTGTTTTTGACAACTCTAAGTTGCTGTTCATCTTGCCCCTGAATCACTTTCTGTAGGGCGGTATCTGCTCTCCTAAAATACATATATATTTATAAAAACTAGCGTTCACATTTTGAAGATGTTTGAAATACAAATCCACTGCATACTAAAACAAGAAATTGGACCTTAAATGTTTTACATTAGAGGTGTTCAGATAAGGGAGGTGCCAAATTAAAAGCTGCAACTTGACTTGAGGTTCAAATCGAGAAAACAAAAAATTCGTAACCAGGAAGTTCATCCATTTTGTTACATTGACGTTACGTCAAAGTGCATTTAAGTGTTAGGGTGCAATATAATTTCTCGGACTCACCGTAAACTATACATATTATTTCATAACAAGTACATCTTGCACTTACCATATGCCATTAAATGTTTGTTCTTGACAACTCTGAGTTGATGTTCATCTTGCACTTACCATATGCCATTAAATGTTTGTTCTTGACAACTCTGAATTGATGTTCATCTTGCACGTACCATATGCCATTAAATGTTTGTTCTTGACAACTCTGAGTTGTTGTTCATCTTGCACTTACCATATGCCATTAAATGTTTGTTTTTGACAACTCTGAGTTGTTGTTCATCTTGCACTTACCGGATGTCATTAAATGTTTGTTTTTGACAACTCTGAGTTGATGTTCATCTTGCACTTGCCATATGCCATCCAATGTTTGTTCTTGACAACTCTGAGTTGTTGTTCATCTTGCACTTACCATATGCCATTAAATATTTGTTTTTGACAACTCTAAGTTGCTGTTCATCTTGCCCCTGAATCACTTTCTGTAGGGCGGTATCTGCTCTCCTAAAATACATATATATTTATAAAAACTAGCGTTCACATTTTGAAGATGTTTGAAATACAAATCCACTGCATACTAAAACAAGAAATTGGACCTTAAATGTTTTACATTAGAGGTGTTCAGATAAGGGAGGTGTTTGGTTGAAATGTATATAAATTATGAACTACGGGTAGTTGAGAATGATGATAAACATGGAAAAACAAACAACACATAGTCATACATCTTTAAATCTTATTTCTCTTACCTGAGTGATGCATATGTCGAAGGAGCTCTTGAAACAGAACGGAGAAAACAACGCCAAATGCCATTTGTTGTCAGAGTGGAACCACGGCAAACCACAAAATGGAGGACAGTAGAAGCGCTATCAGCCTTTATTAAACCATATTTTATTTGACCAATGTATGGGATCTAAAGGATGTTTTGGATTCAGCACTATCATATCATTGCAAAGATCATCCATAATCAATCAGGGCTATAAGTCACTTTGCTCAATATAAGGGTCATCAGTTGTCTCCATAGGATTTTTTCTCAAGTGGGTGCAAAATTCGCAATTGGGTGCTGCACCCTCTTTTTCAAAAATCTGTGTGTGATTGTGTGGGGATGTTTAACTATCAAGTTTATAAGAATTCTGTATATTCTTGATGCTGGAAACAAAGGAGGCAATATAAATCTTGCTGTGACATCTATTATTCTGGTCAAAATGACTTCATGCTTTTAAAACCCCATTTTGCTGATAGAGGGCTCTCATGACTCACATCAAATCCTACATGCATCTTACTGCCTTAGTTGCACAAGCCCATGGGGGCCCAAAACATGTTGGCCCCAAAAATCCTGCTTGCAGCGAGAAGACGGACCGATTCGGGGCAATCTGCTTGCAGCGAGAAGACGGACCGGTTAGGGGCAATAGCTGATGAAATTCTTTGTCACAAAGTTTGGCATTTTTTATAAAATTAAACGCGCGTCATTGAAACTAACAAGATGTAAATAGCATGTCATTTACATCATACCTTGATGGGGAAAATAGATCTTATATGTTAGAAGTACTAAATAAAAGTTATCGTGAAAATGAGACAGTAGTTCTCGAGAGAAAAGAGCATAAATGCGCATTTAGAGAGTTTTGGTCCGTTTAAAAATCTGTAAAAAATTGGGGTACTTAAAAGCATCGGGAGGCATCATATATTCCAAATTAGACACGAGGAAGTCAATATTGAGCAAGTTATGGCTGTTTTAAATTCAAATAAAACCGTTAACCCGTACCGGTCCAGCTTTTGACCCGTACCGGTCAATTTTCGTTAGCTGCGTATACCAAGGGTGAATAAGAGGACCTATTTGGGCATAACTTGGAATTTTTGGGCCTTTTAGGCCAAATTATCCAAAATGGGTCTTAAAGGGTTCCGATAAGCTTCCCGTATAAAATGAAAATCTCCATTTTATAAATGTGTGACGATCTATACTGTATTAATGTTATATAAAAGTTAGAGGTGTTGACACAACGACCTCGAGCCTTTGATCCCTTGAGTATTATCCCGGGATCGAGCCTTTTATACTAAATGGTGAGCAACACCAGAAACGAGCGTTCGATTTGCTAAACGATATGCGTCACCCTTTAAATCATGTTTATGATTTGAAATGTCCCCCCCCCTCCCCCTGTTAGCTTCCGGATCCCCAAGTGCAATCTAAAATGGATAAGATGATAATAAACAAATGTCAATCACCTGAAAATGACAAGCTTTTTTAAATACATAACAGTACAAATGATTTTTTATATTGATAATTAATATGTACATGTATAGTATTTATTTGATGAACGTCATCATAAAGTACATTTTACTTTTGATTAGTTAGACATCTTAACTTGTTAATAACAAATATAAACAGTGACATATTTTCTGAGGCTTCATGTCAAATTATTTTGTACTATTTCCCAAAAATATTAGTCACCATATATTCTGTAAGGAGAGGCAATCTTGAAATAATTCTTTCAATTTCAATCTTTAAGTAAAAAGCATGCTCTTTAATTTAGGGTGACTTTCACGGTAACTGAACTTTAAACTCCTAGTACACAGGGAGATATGCCGAGTACTCATGGCATTTTAGCGCTAATGGAGTACTCATCTCAGTAAATATTAGTACTAAATGAGCACTTATGACATGAGTACTGATTTATTGCATGTTTTAGTACTAAATGAGTACTCATATTATGAGTAATAAAATAGCAGTAATTTCATAGATTTTTAGCACTTAATTGGTACTCATATAATACAATTGATTCTCAGCACTAAATGAGTACTCATATCATGAATTAGTACTAAATTAGCACTTGTTGCATCAGTGCACTTTTGCCAGAGTGCTTATTAAGTACTACTTTCGTACTAATTAAGTAATCGGCATATCTCCCTGTGTATCTAGCAAAGAAGATGAATTAAAATATTAACATGTCAATTGATGAATATAAAGTACATTTAATCTTCATTGCTCACATGGTGTTAGGACATTCAGGGAAAATGTTCATTTCTTTGATGTAAAAATAAATAAGCCATTGACACGCAGTACTAACTTTGACCGTTAATTTGAATTTTTGACCTACCATATGTTTGAAACTCAAGGAAAATACACCATATTATTTTGGCACACTCTGTAATATTTTGTACATGTAGTACGGTATTCAAATGAACTAAATCCGAAACAGTCATCTTTATAATTTATTGCATCTATATGAAATGATATTAGAAGCTTATTTAGTGAGAATAAGTAATGACTAAAATTCAGGTTTTGTAAAACATTATAATTAGTAAGTAGAACGTCCCTTTATCACTATGTGATATTCTGCAGCATTCAAATAAATAAATACAAAACAGTCATCGAACAATTTATAGAAAACCACAAGGTGTTCAATAAAGAATGTCTGTATTAAAATTCAGTTTTTGTAAAACATTAGCATTTGAAAGTAGAGGTTCTATTATTATGTCACTCTGTAATATTTTGTAGTATTCAAAAGAACTTAAAGCAAGACGTCACAAATTATATTGCATGTATATGAAATCATAAAATAAGTATTTTTGATAATTACTGTGGTTATGAGCTGAAGATATCAAAAATATATCTGGTAAAGGAATTCAGTTTTACCTTGGACCCAATTATAGAGACAAGAGATTATACTGTTATTTAGGCTATAGGATGAGATAAATTGTTATTTGCTATAAAATCTGGTTATTAATTCATCAATCTTTTGTATTGGTATCTTGCACTTCACCAAATCATCATATACATAATGACCGTATCCCTTGTTGTTCCATAGTTCAGATAGGATTAACCATCTGTCTACATGTAAAGCCTCCTCTCATGTACAGCAGCCAGATCTCAGTGCGCGGATTGCGATGTAAAGAACTACTGGCATCATCCAATATTTCGCATACCTGAATCGTCCTGATCCTATTCTTGGTTGTACATCAACACCTGGGAAATCAACATCTTCAAGTTCCTTCTCACTGTTATATATCCACAGGTGTCCATCCTCCTCCTTCATCTCATAAAGTTCAAATACATGATGAGCTGCATTACACAGGCAACCTCCCAATGATCTCTCACTTGATCTACATGCTGCCTGGTGATGTAGCACCAGGGTCTTCAGTGCATGTGAGCTGTGAGAGGAGCTGAGAGGGATTAGATGACATTCCATAATAAGGAGTTTCAATAACATCAGCAGCTTATTGTGATGTTTGTCTAGTTCATGTTTACTGTTATAGACAGATAGAGTCAATGATGCAAGAATTGTTGATCTTGGGTTATATGGCAGGACTATATATCTACCATACTTTGTCTGTTGATTTTCTAAACAGAACCCAAGATCAATGTCTGTTGTATATTTACCACCACCAACCCTTATTCTTACACATGGTCCGTGTATCAATTTATCTAGTTCAACTGTATTGGGGGATAAGTAGGGATCATATGTTCCATTCCTGTAGCTATTCTCGAATACATCAGGTCTTTGATATTCTATGAATCCTTTGTGCAAAGTAGTAGAACTATAATGATGAAGTAGCCTCAGTCTTTCCAAGCAATCCCATACACTACTGGTTAGTCCTAGTCTCCTCTTCCCTTTGTAGTGAATACCTTCCAGTTGGGATAGACAGGTATGAATTGCACTATGGAGTACACCTGTTATATTCTCCATAAGATTGTTCTCATAATCTATTACTTCCCTATGTACTCCTAATGATTGTTTTATGTCATTGATTTGTTTTTTTTCAGATTTTTAGTATAAACCTTCACTTTAACTTTATTATTCCCATATACATCTGATATATTTACAATTGGCACTGAAATATGTTTAAATAAAAGCAGCAGATCACATTCATCAGGATGTATTATTTTGCTGCCTTTGAAATAACTTCCATTTGGTAGTATATCACCAACTGCAAACACTGGATAAAGTTCTCCAAGTTTATCACAAAGCCTTTTTACTTTGGATATAATCTCGTCCTGATGTTCTTTGATTTCTGAATCATTGAGCTTTAATTTACATTTCTCGTATCCAGTATTCACAAAATCTGTTAATATGTCTTTTTCTGATTCGCTGAGTTGGTATGAGTTCCTTGTAAGTTTCACAACATGTGATTTACAACATTTTCCCCCCATTTAAAATTGGCAATACAATCTCTTTGGTAATATAATCTCGTCCTGATGTTCTTTGATTTCTCAACAACTGAGCTTTAGATTTACATTTCTCATATCCAGTATTTGCAAAGTATGTTAATGTGTCTTTTTCTGATTCAGTAAGCTTGTATGAGTTCCTTGTAAGTTCAAAAACAGAGCTTTTGTCTGATATTGATCTCAATTGTAATAACTCTATAACAGAGCTTTCATCCTGTGAGTTACAACATATTCCTCCCATTTAAAATTTCTAATTTGATCTGTTTGAATAATGTGCTTGTTTATCTTTACATGTAATATATTAACATCTGGCTGTGTAAAATGTTTAAATATAACAAGCAGCAGGTCACATTCATCAGAATGTATTATTTTGCTGTCATGGACAGGCCCGTAGCCGGGGAGGGGGCGGATTGGGGGGGGGGGGGGTTTCGATGGGTTTTGATTAATTTTTAACTGTGTTTTTTGTTGTTGTAACCAATCAATTTTGAAAAATGCCAGTAGGTAAATAGGTAAGCAGCTGAGTATATACCATACTGATATGGTATGATGGGTAACTGGTAAACTCGTACCCAAGGCAACTCGTACCCAAGACAACTTGTATCAAAGTTTGTGTTTAGTTTTGAATCAAGTGTTGGACTGGGAATGGGTATAGATATACATATTATAATTGTTGTATACAGTTCAGAATAGTTTGAAGTATGTAGAAGAGTTTTTGGAAGAAATCTATTTCTTTTATTGACATTTTGAGCTTTGAAAATTAAGTGTCAATCTTTTTTGACTATTATGTTATATTGGTCACAGATTCGGGATGTTTGACAGAAGAGACCTACATTATTCCACATATTCATAATCATTGCTCAAAATATTAGTGGTATCTTTGTATGTTTATGAGTGTTTGCAACAAGTGTCAGATCTAATTCATCTTGAAAGATGGTATTATAAAAAATATAAAGATTTATCAAAACTTGGGCCTAATTTCTTATTAAACAGATAATCTATTTAGGATTTCATATCATCAGATTAAAAAATGTTAATTCTAAGAAGTCACCTTCATAAAATTTAGCAATAAAATATTCTAAATAATATTATATTATTCATATATAATACAATGCACTTTGTATGCATGTGCTCAAATATAATCCAATTGAGTTCCAAATGGAAATAAATAAATTAACAGTTAAAACTTCCCTTATCAACTTTCTCTACATGCACTTAGCTAAATTGATTTTTGATTCATTTGTAGAAAAGTTACTGTTGTAATTATATTTATTTATATATATGTATGACAAAAAAGTTGAGAACAAGCCCTTCGAAGTATTTCTTTCATTTAAATAAGATGATCTAAGTTAAAACAAAAGCTTTGCTTAACGCTTTGAGAAAAAATGTCTTCTAAATTCAGAAAAATTTTGAGGCTTATTTGATTCACATTATAACATTAAAACGTTATTATACAGATGTTATATAGATGTTTTACTAATATGCACACATAATACTGAAAATAAACTTGGGTACGAGTTGTCTTGGGTACGAGTTGTCTTTGGTACAAGTTGTCTTTGGTACGAGTTGTATTGGGTACAAGTTGTCTTGGGTACGAATTTTCTTGGTTACAAGTTGTCTTGGGTACGAGTTGTCTTGGGTACGAGACTAGGAAGCGGTATGATGTACTGGATCATAAATGTCTCATTCACATTTTTAGACTTAACTCCATGTCTGCTCATGAAATTTTGGGCTCAAGGTCAAATCTGAAAATTTATGCCAAAGGATTAGTGTCTTCAAGACCCTATATTAGCCCCAAAGATATTTAGAAAAAATTGTACAGGATATCAAATAAAATACCTTGTTTGATAACCAGATCCAAAAATAAGGTCAATCTGACCTTTATATTTCAAAATATAGGTCATACTATTAACGTGTATAAAAGGAGATTTTGAAGGAAATATCACTCTTTTCGCATCATTATTGTCACTATCAAAATAAGCATTATTTTTAGTCATCTAAGACTTTTTAATTGATCCTTCTGGTATTATCTTACATGATAGTGACAAAGCATAATGGGCAACACTCGAAAACAAAATTTTGAATAGTGATCTTCTTTATACTTCATTGAGATCAATTGTCTACAAAAAAGCTTGCAAAATAATATCAGAAAAGAATATTTAGTTTTTATAAAAATAACATCACAATGAGAAAGAACAAGGGGTAACATTAAAAAGCATATGAAGTAATTAACAAGTCAAAAGTGCATATCAATCAATTATATATTGATCTGCTTCCTTGAGATCAATTGCTCATATACAGTTTGTTTTAAGATGGCAGTAAAATACTGAATTTATCATTTCACATCACACTGAGGAAGCACAAAGAGGAACATTTGAAAACACATAAAATATAACAATTACTAAAAGGTTACTTTGGACTTTCTTAAACTGTTGATGGGCACATTCATGTGTTTGTTCATTATAATAAGAGATTCTATGAGCTATCATCTTCTTCAGATGACAACGTTTCAGACATATCTTTTGATTTTAAAGTGCCAATTTTTGTGCATTTCTTTTTGCTTCTATACCCCTTGTGCCTACAACCCTACTATCAACTGGGCATGTACAACATCATCCAGTGATTGCATCAAAACTATTACATACATCTGGATCTGGGTTGTACTCCACCCATGTATAATGAGATTTGGAGGATACAAACCGATTACTGGGCTATTACACAAATCAGGCCATATGTTTCTTTTTAACATGTTATATTTTCCATCTACTTGAAGATGGCCGTCTGTATTTATATCGGTTGGCTTCATCTCAAGAGAGTCCACTACGATTTAGATGTAACCCTCTGTCTCCATACAGATGGTACTGTGAGATGGCAGTCCACTCATTGTTACATGAAGGTAAAATGATTGTATAACAATCATCTCATATGAATGTATTGAAAGTAATTGCATGTTATTATGTTGCTTAGAGCCATGGTAAAGATAAATGCTTCTCAAAAGGTGAAAGCAAACATATAATATCACGAAAAGATCATATGAATAAAGAAAATATACTCAAATATATAAAGCACAACTGTCACAATCATTCTAAAGATTTTCAAAATTGCTGACATCATTTTATTTCATGCTGAAAATTGCAGAAAAGTTCCATTTTTGTACAACATCTGGTCCTTACCTAGATTTTTACATATGTCAAGGAGTACATTAGAAGTACACTATTCCCTTACTACATTTAACTTTCTAGGTAAGAACCAGACGTTATATGGACAAAGCAAGAGTTTATCATGACCTTCCTCTCTCTAAAAATAAGAAGGTCAACACAATTGCAACCTAAAGTCCCCAAGAACTCCATGGGAATCACAAAATAGAGTCTGATGTTGACAGTTATTGCATATCCGTTGGTATCATCAAAGGTAAAGGGTCCTACCTTCTGAGAACACACTAAACTGGGTATCTGTCTGTGTGAAGGTGCCTCACCACTTCTTCATCAAGTGCTTAACTCCCCTAGAATACAGGATTGTTAGAGTTTGCCAGTGCATCAAGTTGGAAATGGAGTTCATTTGAATAACAGACCAGCCCAGACAGCCCAAGAGCGGCAATCCGGGGCATGTTGCTTTAAATGCAGTAATATTGTGACTATCAGTCCCATAGTTATGAAATATGGTAGGTTGGTAGGAAATTGAATGATGTACAAATGTGTAAAATATCAGGGAGATATTTTTTAGAATGACAAAGATATTAGGAAAAACTGGGGTTGCCGTTTTTTGACCACCCTGTGGCCCATATGGCCACTGTACAAACACTAAAACTTACTATACACACTATTGGATTCGGCATGGCTTCGTTTTCAAAGTATTAAGAAAAACCACCCCATAAATTGTTTTTACTGTAGTGACACCATGACTAGAAAAACAACAATATGTTTTTATCAAATCACTCGTCATTTTGAATATACTATGTTAGAAACAACCGTTATAATGCCTCCTTTTGGCAAAACATGATGTGATATGATACCGTATTTTTCGTAATCACCAAAATGAATGCAACTGAGTATTAAGCAGAAAATTTTAAATCCTGTAAGATTTATCATTGATATTTGAATGCCGAAAACAATGTATCGTTTTTAGTGCAAACCTCCGAGAGATAAACTTAAATATCTGATGATTTATCTATCATAACCACTTTGTCATTTTGAATTGACCAGACAATGGGAAGTCCGAACTACATTTAGCTCTGAAGTAGATTCAAATCAGTAAGCCACACAGGACAAGTATTTGTATCACTCAGTCTCGGGATGTTCTTGAGAATTCGATCTGCTATATCTTAAAAAACATGCCTTTTGAATTGGAAAAGTATACCATGTCATTGATCTTGTTTGTCTGAGACAATGCCTTGTTTTGTGCTATGCTATAGTATGAGAGATAAAGTCAAGCATCTGATCATTAATAACATCATCACATAATCACTTTGTCATTTTGCATTGACAAAACAATGGGGACTATATGTTATTTTCATATAAGTAGATTCAAATCAGCAAGTCACGGAGGACAAGTGCTTGTATTATTCAGCTATGGGATGTTATTGAGAATTTGATCTGCTATATTCTTAAAAACAAGCCTTTTGAAATGAAAAAAACACAAAGATGATTTAAGTACCAATGTAAATCTTGTCATTATCTCATTGTTGTTTTTGAGTAGCACCTGTTATGTCATCTTACGTTTGATGTAGTACTTTATTTTTCAAATAATAAAAGAACTGTGCAATGTTTACTCGAGATTCATGACATAAAGCAATTGTTTTTCGTATTCTGAGAGTAAAGTAAGAAGTAAATGAAACAATATTGAAAATATTTGTGTCTCTTCCCTTGATCTGCTCAGTTGGTAATTTGACAGATTTAATTTAATTTGCTTTTATTTAATTTAAAATGTAACAGTCACTCTGTATTCTGTTAAAGGAAGCAAGCTTAAAATATATATTTTTTGATATCAACATATTACATTATACACAATGCTATCTTATTTTAGCTGACACGTGACATACATGTACTTCTCATAGGTATTCAAAGGCATCCAGCCTTTGAACTCATATAAATCCTGCTAGCAAGGAAGATAAAAATACTTTTATTGGTCACAACATGGCCAATAGAACATTTAATCTTCACTGCTAACAGGGCTTTTGGGATGTCCAGGGAAACAATACATATTTCCTAAAATATTTCAAAAAATGTCATGTTACCAAAAATAAGCCATTAATGTATTTAGTACAATGCACACTGTCTTGACATATGAACATTTGTTCAACATGCATGACTTCTTATTCAAACATTACCGTACCCTAATTGAATTTCTCAACCACTCAGAATGCAGCATAGCCAATATAGACAGAAGAGCAGGTGTTATATCGACGAATACACCCCGCAGAGCTAGTCACACACGATTCTGTTCGAAAGCTTTTGTGCCTAGCCCCAAGGGGTGTATTCGTCGATATTGCACCTGCTCTGAGGTCTATATAACGATTTGAACATGAAATAGTGAAACCTCACCAAACTTTTTCGAATATTCATCGGACAGAATGGCAGTACAAATGCACTCACCTTCGGTTCTTGCTGTATACGACAGTAACATATTTCAAGATCTTGCAAAAACAATTTATTCCAAATTTAAAAAAATGCATTCTAATCATTAAGTCCATAAATATCAATGAATTGGATCATGTTCAACAATTTAGAACAGATTATGCATCACATTTCTGTTTAATAATAATGCACCGCTCATTTTTCAAAACTGGCTCCAAGTTGGAACCAGTTTACAAATCGTCTCGCTCCATTTAACACAAGCTATTTAGGGACAATCTAGCAATTTGAAATCACGGGATACTATCTCGAGTTATGCATCTTATTCTTCTACAATTTATGAAAATGAGAAAAAACTGAAAAATACGTAAAATCTTAACATTTTTTACCAAAAACTCTCTTTATGCCAAAATTATGAGTGTAAAATGCATCCTTATCATAAAGATCGATGAATTGGACCATGTTCATCAAATAAGGGCAGATTATACATCGTATTTCTGTTAAATAAAAACACATTGCTCATTTTTCAAACTTGAATCGGAATTGATGAACGTGATCCTATTCATCGACATCCATGCTTAAAGTATTCAATTTACACTTATAATTTAGCCTTAGAATGACTTTTTGCAAAAAATCTTGAAATATGTTACGATTTTATGTATTTTTCCGTTTTTTCTCATTCTCATGCAAATTATACGAGAATAAGATGCATAATGCACATCAAAATGATCAGGAGACAGTATCCCGTGATTCCCAGTCGCTAGATTGTCCCTTTATAGCTTGTTTTCTCGAGAACACATATTTACTGTTAAGCATTCTAATTGTACACTGATATAATGAGTGTAATGTTTTTTATGCATATAATATAGAAGGCACATAGATGTCATTAAGTAATTATACTCACTCTGCCAACCTTAATTTACAATTCTCTTTGGCTCATGACAATCAACTATATAATATATAATAACATATAATCAGGCAAATAGATATATGTCATTAAGTAATTATAATGGATAATAGGAGTTTAAATTTTTGTTAAATATCAGAGTTAGAAAGTAAAACACACCATATTATTTTGGGTCACTCTGTAATATTTTGTACATGTAGTATTCAAATAAGCTAAATCCAAAGCAGTCATCTTTATATCATTATTCGTTGCATCAACATGAAATGATATTAGAAGCTTATTTAGTGAGAATTACAAGGTGTTCCAAAAGTAATGACTAAAATTCAGGTTTGTAAAACATTATAATTAGTAAGTAGCATGTCCCTTTATCACTCTGTGCAGCATTTAAATAGATAAATACAAAACAGTCATTGAATAATTTGTTGAGAATTACAAGGTGTTCAATAAGTAATGACTAAAATTCAGGTTTTGTAAAACATTATAATTAGTAAGTAGAATGTCCCTTTATCACTCTGTGATATTCTGCAGCATTCAAATATATAAATACAAAACAGTCATCGAATAATTAATTGCATATTACAAGGTATTCAATGTGTAATGTCTGTATTAAAATTCAGTTTTTGTAGAACATAAGCATTTGAAAGTAGAAGTGCTATTATTATATCACTCTGTAATATTCTGTAGAATTCACAATAATATTCATATACATTGCATGTATATGGAATCATCCAAGAAGTATTTTGGAGAATTACTGGGGTTACTAGCTGAAGATATTTGAAATATATCCGGTAAAGTAATTTAGTTTTACCTTGGACCCAATTATAGAAACAACAGAGTATACTGTAATTTAGGTTCTAGGATGAGATGAATTGTTATTTGCTATAAAATCTGGTTATTAATTCATCAATCTTTTGTATTGGTATCTCACACTTTCGACGATATTGCTGTACATAGCCACCTTCTCCCTTGTTGTTATATAGTTCAGATATGACTAACCATCTGTCCACATGGAGAGCCTCCTCTCCTGTACAGCAGCCAGATCTCAGTGCACGGATTGTGATGTAGAGAACTACTGGCATCATCCAATAATTATAATGCCTGTATACTCCTGATCCTAGTCTTGGTTGTACATCAACAAATGGGAAATCAACATCTGCAAGTTCCTTCTTACTGTCATATATCCACAGTTGTCCATCTTCCTCCTTCATCTCATAGAGTTCAAATACATTGTGAGCTACATCACACAGGCAACCTCCCAATGATCTCTCACTAGATGTACATGTTCTCTGGTGATGTAGCACAAGGGTCTTCAGTGCATGTGAGCTGTAAGTGGAGCTATTAGGGAATAGATGACATTCCAGAATGAGGAGTTTCAATAACATCAGCAGCTTATTGTGATGTTTGTCTAGTTCATGTTCACTGTTATGGAGAGATCGAGTCCAATGTGCAAGATCACCTACTCTTGGGTTATATGGCAGGAGTATATATCTACCATGCTCTGTCTGTTGCTTTTCTAAGCAGAACCCAAGGTAAATATCTGTGGTATGTTTACTTCCACCAACCCTTATCCTTACACATGGTCCATATAACTTTGTATCTAGTTCAACTGTATTGGGAGATAGAAAAGTAGAGTAGAAACCGTTCAACCAACTATCCTCCGACGCAGGGAGTACCTTCCTTAATTTGATGTATTCATAAAAAGTAGTACGATCCTCAATATGAAGTTGTCTCAGTCTTTCCAAGCAGTCCCATTCACTAATGGTTCGTCCTAGTTTCCTCTTCCCTTTGTAGTGAATACCTTCCAGTTCGGATAGACAGGTATGAATTGCACTATGGAGTAAATGTGTTATATAATGCATAAGATTATTCTTGTCATCTATTACTTCCCAGTGTACTCCTAATGATTGTTTTATATCATTGATCTGTGTTTTCAGTTTTTCAGTATGTATTTTCACTTCCACTTCATTGTTCCCATATATATTTGATATATATACATTTGGCACTGAAAGTTGTTTTAATAAAAGCAGCAGATCACATTCATCAGGGTATATGATTTTGCTGCCATTGAAATAACTTCCATTTGGTAGTATATCTCCAACTTCAAACACAGGATAAAGTTCTCCTAGTTTATCACACAGTTTTCTTACTTTGGATATAATCTCCTCCTGATGTTCTTTGATTTCTGAGTCACCGAGCTTTAGTTTACATTTCTCATATCCAGCATTCACAAAGTCTGTTAATATTATGTCTTTTTCTGATTCGGTGAGTTGATATGAGTTCCTTGTAAGTTCCACATGTGATTTACAACATTTTCCCCCCATTTAAAATTGGCAATACAATATCTTATAATAATGTGCTTCACATACATATACAGTAATCGTCACAAACTCATGAGTCATTTTTAGTTAAACTGTCAGATATATAACTTCCATTTGGTAGTATATCACCAACTGCAAACACAGGATAAAGTTCTCCAAGTTTTTTAAAAAGTCTCCTTACTTTCAATATAATCTCCTTCTGATGTTCTTTGATTTCTGAATCACTAAGCTTTAGTTTACATTTCTCATATCCAGCATTTGCAAATTATGTAAGTCTGTGTATCTCTGTTGGAGTAAGTGTTCTAGATTTCCTTGTTAATAGAAAAGCCATGCCAGACCATGACTGCAGGTTATTATAGATATTTATAAAACTGATGGCTGATATATCCGAGTCACGAAATCTGTTAGTCTGTGTATCACTGGGGAGAACGTTTTCTAGATTTGCTTGTTAACAGAAATGCCATACCAAACCATAAGAGGTTTTTTGAAAATCTAATTTTAACTTTTATATGATAAGTTAAGTATAATACTTTAACTTATTATCAGTTAGTGCATTTATCTTCTTCACGAGTAATGTTTAATTAAAGAAGGTCAAATGACTATCATATTAGTCATTTAACAGGCCTACTTTTGATTAATTTTTAACTGTTTTTTTGTTTGTTGTAACCAATCAATTTTGAAAAATGCCAGTATTTCTAAGTAGGTCAACAGCTGAGCAAATTTTAGAAAATCAATTTGTCCCCTAAGTTTTTCACTGCATTTATGTAGAGCAAGGTCTTGGGCTTATATTGAGCTTGGGTTCTCTATCCTAACCCCGGCAACGAATGTGAAAATTGATCATATAGGTGGCGCCCCCTACAATTTACCCTCAAATTTATAACTAATTATCATTTTAATAACTGAAACATACAAACATCTCGAATTGATCAATGGTACATTAATTTATGCATTAATCTTTTCTTCAATGTTTAAAAATCATAATTTATGGAGAACTAGTTGATTGACCCCTTGAAACGTCCCCTATTTTAAAGGGGGTACTTACGTTAACTTCTGTAAGTTTTGTGTTATTCAGGATTCGGGCTTAAAATACACTCAACTGTATGGTATGATGGGTAACTGGTCAACTCGAATTCGACCAAATTTATGTTTAGTTTTGAATCAAGTGTTTGACTGGGCATGGGTATAGATATACATACTATGATTGCGTATACAGTTCAGAATAGTTTGAAGTATGTAGAAGAGTTTTTGAAGAAATCATTTGATTTTGTGACATTTTGAGCTTTGAAAAATAAGTGTCAATCTATTTTGACTATTATGTTATATTGGTCACAGATTCAGGATGTTTGAGGGAAGAGACCTTCGTTTATTCCACATATTCATAATTATTGCTCAAAATATTAGTGGTATCTTTTTATTATTATAAGTGTTTGCAACAAGTGTCAGATCTAATTCATTTTGAAAGACGGTATTATTAAAAAAATAAAGATTTATCAAAACTTGGGCCTCATTTCTTAATAAACAGATAATCCATTTAGGATTTCATATTATCAGATTAAAGAATGCTAATTCTAAGTAGTCACCTTCATAAAATTTAGCAATAAAATATTCTAAATAATATTATATTATTCATACTTGATACAATACACTTTGTATGCATTTGCTCAAATATAATCCAATTGAGCTCCAAATGGAAAAGAAATTAACAGTTAAAACTTCCCTTTCTCTGTATGACAAAAAAAGTTGAGAACAAGCCCTTCAAAGTACTTCTTTTATTTAAATATGGTGATCTAAGTCAAAACAAAATGCTTTGCTGGACGCATTGAGAAAAAAATTCTTCTAAATTCAGAAAAAAATATTGAGGCTTATTTGATTCACATTATAACATTAAAAAGTTGTTATACAGATGTTTACCTAATATGCACCCATAATACTGAAAATAAACTTGGGTACGAGTTGTCTTGGGTACGAGTTGTCTTTGGTACAAGTTGTCTTGGGTACAATTTGTCTTGGGTACAAGTTGTCTTGGGTACGAGTTTTCTTTGGTACAAGTTGTCTTGGGTAAGAGGTGTCTTGGGTACGAGACTAGGAAGCGGTATGATGTACTGGATCATGAATGTCTCATTCACATTTTTTAGACTTAACTTTATATCTGCTCATGAAATGTTGGGCTCAAGGTCAAATCTGAAAATTTAGGCCAAAGGATGAGTGTCTTCAAGACCCTATATTAGCCCCCAAGATATTTAGCCAGATCCCAAAATAAGGCAATTCTGACCTTTATATTTCAAGATATAGGTCATCCTATTAACATGTATAAAAGGACATTTTGAAGGAAATGTCACTCTTTTCACATCATTATTGTCACTGTTTCTATTTATTATCAAAATAAGCATTATTTTTAGTCATCTAAGACTTTTTAATTGATCCTTTTGGTATTAGCTTACATAATAGTGACAAAGCATAATGGGCAACATTCCAAAACAAAATATTGAATAGTGATCTTCTTTATTCTTCATTGAGATCAATTGTCTACAAAAAAGTTTGCAAAACTATATCAGAATAGAATATTGAGTTTTTTTAAATAATATCACAATGAGAAAGAACAAGGGGTAACATTAAAAAGGACATGAAGTAATTAACAAGTCAAAAATGCATATCAATCAATTATATATTGATCTGCTTCCTTGGGACCAATTGCTCATATACAGTTTGTTTTAAGGTGGCAGTAAAATACTGAATTTATCATTTCACATCACAGTGAGGAAGCACAAAGAGGAACATTTGAAAACACATAAAATATAACAATTACTAAAATGTTATTTTGGACTTTCTATAACTGTTGATGAGCACATTCATGTGTTTGTTCATTATAATAAGAGATTCTATGAGCTATCATCATCTTCTTCAGATGACAACATTTCAGACATATCTTTTGATTTTAAAATGTCAATTTTTGTGCATTTCTTTTTGCTTTTATACCCCTTGTGCCTACAACCCTACTACCAACTGGGCATGTACAACGTCATCCAGTGATTGCATCAATAGTATAACATACATCTGGATCTGGGTTGTACTCCACCCATGTATAATGAGATTTGGAGGACACAAACCGATTACTGGGCTTTTACACAAATCAGGCCATATGTTTCTTTTTTAACATGGTATAGTTTCCATCTACTTGAAGATGATCGTCTGTATTTAGATCGGTTGGCTTCATCTCAAGAGAGTCCACTGCAATTTAGATGTAGACCTCTGTCTCCACAGATGGTACTGTGAGATGGCAGTCCACTCATACAGTTCCCTTTGCTTTGGGTATTTTATTAGCAAATGTTATTTTCCCGCCTACTGATTGTGACTTACAATATATTTTTTCTGCACAATAAAGTTGAGCTGTATTTCTAAATATGAACATTGGTATGATCAGCCAGTGAACTTTGATAATATTTAAAATTATTCATCGACAAAAATGGCGCCTGTTAGATGAAGGTAAAATGAATCATCTCATATGAATGTATTGGAAGGAATTGCATGTTATTATGTTGCTTAGAGCCATGGTAAAGATAAATGCTTCTCAAAAGGTTATGCTCCAGTGAAAGCATACATAACAGGATCTTAAGAGGTTCTGGACAAATCATTTGATTCTGGACTTGTCATATTTTTTTTCAACGAAATCACATCCAAGGGTTGAATTTTTATTAGCTATTTAGAGAGTGAGTCCTGCCTAGTATCAATTTCAATAAAAAAGTTAAAATAGAACCCTATTTGTGAGTCGATCTGATACTTACATTACATTGATAAATTAAGGCAAATCCTGAAATATTTTTAAAGTGCATTTTTTATGAAATATTATCCAGCAAGTATTTAGATGAAACAGTGTTATTTAAATACAAATCATAACATGATGGTATTTTCATGAAACATTTTTCATTTTTAATTTAGGTGAAAACCCTTACATGATGATGTGTTTACATAACTTCTTTCATAAAATTCCATCAAG